TCCACATCACCATCTTCTCCCCCGAGGGGCGTCTCTACCAAGTGGGTCAGTCCATGGGGCCCGGGTGCAGGCCAGAGCAGGATTGGGGCCCCCAAGCGCCAGGCCTGGAATCAGCCACGGGCTGGGCTGTGCGGGGGAGGGGTAATGGCGGTCAAGACTCCTGGGGAGTGGGGTCTAGTGGTTAGAGCAGGGGGAGCGGGCTGGCAGCCAGGATTCCTGGGTTCAGTGCCTGGATCGGGGAAGGAATGTGGTTGACTGTTTTTAGAGCAGGACGGGGAGCCAGGACACCTGGGTTCTGCCCGAGTTCTGAGAGGGGAGTGTGGTTTAGTGGTTAGAGCAGGGGTGGAGAGCCGGAATACCTGGGTTCTGAGAGGGGAGTGGGATCTAGTGATTAGAGGAGGGCAGGGAGCTAGGACACCTGGGCTCTGTCCGAGTTCTGAGAGGGGAGTGGGGTTTAGTGGTTAGAGCGGGGCAAGGCGCCAGGACATGTGGGTTCTATCCCCAGCTCTGATAGAGTGGGGGCTAGTGATTAGAGAAGGGTGGAACTAAGAGTCAGAACTCCTGGGCTCATTTCCCAACACCATACTGATTTGCAGCAGAGCCTGAGACAAGTCCCTTCTGGCCCCTTATGCCTCAGTTTCCCCACCGGTAAAAGGAGGGCGGGGTGGCTGCCTGGCAGGAGCGAGCAGGTTTTTGTCTGGGAAGCTCCTGAGAAGGGCCACCCCCACCCGCTTTCTTCCCCTCCCCCCTTGCATTTACTGAGCGTTGTCTGGTTGCAGAATACGCCTTCAGAGCCATCAGCCAGGGGGGGCTGACCACTGTGGCTGTGAGAGGGGAGGAGTCTGTGGCCGTGGTCACCCAGAAAAAAGTGCCGGTAGGGGCCCAGCATGGGGGGCAGAGGCAGGAGATCGGGGGGGCTAAGGGGGGCCCATGGTGCCCAGCATTAAGGATGGCAGCCTTGGCTCTTTGCTGGCACCGACCACGGCCCCATCCTGGTGCCAGCCGATCCCATTGAGCAGGGACCCTTGAGAAGGCAGAACACGTGCACCTGAGCTGGGGTTGGGCCAGGATCCCGGGGCTCACGCCCGGGCTCTCATGCCCCGTTGTGCCATGACCAGCTGGGGTCAGGCTGAGGGCTGACTGCGTGGGGAGAGCACCCCCTAGTGCCCCCGGTGTCAGCACTGTGTGGTATCGGAGAGCGCCCCCTGCTGAGCCTTCCACCCCCCTTCCTGCCCCACAGCACCCGCTAGTGCCCCCGGTGTCAGCACTGTGTGGTATCGGAGAGCGCCCCCTGCTGAGCCTTCCACCCCCCTTCCTGCCCCACAGCACCCGCTAGTGCCCCCGGTGTCAGCACTGTGTGGTATCGGAGAGCGCCCCCTGCTGAGCCTTCCACCCCCCTTCCTGCCCCACAGCACCCGCTAGTGCCCCCGGTGTCAGCACTGTGTGGTATCGGAGAGCGCCCCCTGCTGAGCCTTCCACCCCCCTTCCTGCCCCACAGCACCCGCTAGTGCCCCCGGTGTCAGCACTGTGTGGTATCGGAGAGCGCCCCCTGCTGAGCCTTCCACCCCCCTTCCTGCCCCACAGCACCCGCTAGTGCCCCCGGTGTCAGCACTGTGTGGTATCGGAGAGCGCCCCCTGCTGAGCCTTCCACCCCCCTTCCTGCCCCACAGCACCCGCTAGTGCCCCCGGTGTCAGCACTGTGTGGTATCAGGAGAGCGCCCCCTGCTGAGCCTTCCACCCCACTTCCTGCCCCACAGCACCCCCTAGCGCCCCTGGTGTCAACACTCACAGCGAGGGGACAGTGCTCCCTGCTGAGCCTTCTGCCCCACTTCCTGCCCCAAAACACCACCTAGGGTCAACACTGACGGCGTGGGGACAGTGGCCCCTGCTGCGACTTCTGCCCCACATCCTGCAGCAGAGCGCCTCCTAGTGGTAACATCCCGCAGCACAGCGCCCCAATGGCAGGCTGAGGCTCTTGCACTGCAGAGGGAAGCGACTCAGCAGGCTCCGGTGTCTTTGCCCCCCTCCCCAGGACACGCTTCTGGATCCCAGCACGGTCACCAACCTGTATCGCCTGACAGAGACCATCGGCTGCGCCATGACCGGCATGAGCGGTGAGCGGGGCTCCGAGCACCTCCCAGGCTGAGCCCTGGCCTGGTCCTCGCGATGCCTGGGGAGCCCAGCCCACATGGGGACTGAGTCTGCGACAGCCCCAGGAACAGGGCCTGGGCTCTGCCCCCAACCTTTTCGCTCTGGAGTTCACTGGTCCAACCGCCCTGCTCCCTCCGTGTGGCAGCCTGACACCAGGTCCAGACGTGACCCCGCGGCGCTTCCACTGGCTGCCCCACAGCCCTGGTCTAGAGCGCGGGGGTGAGCGAGGCAGGCTGCACGGCGATGTCGCTCCTCTAGCAATCCCCCAGCCTGGACGCACGGGAACACACCGCTACGGTAGCACCTGGGAGCCACAAACTGAGCTCAGGCTCCGGGCCCTGTCCAGCCCCCGCTCGGCTGAGCTCAGGGCCAAACCTCCCCCATAGTACGGTGCCAGCTGTTGCCCAGACCCCCATTCTGACCAAAATCGGGGCTTCCCCTTGAGCTGGGGGCTGCCCAGACCCCTGCAAACCCCAACCCGAGAACAGGGCCCCCTTACGCCAGGCGCTGCCCACACAAGGGCAAGCAGCCCCTGCCCTGAGAGGGTCACTCGCTAAACAGCCCTACTTTGCGGATGGGGACCCTGGGGTGCAGAGGGAGGGAGCGGCTCCCCCCAGGGGTGCAGCCCCAGAAGTGTTAGGGCTTCTGTCCTGTTTGAGAGAGCCGGTCGGTCGGGTGCAATGGAGCCACTGAACCGTGCAGTTCTGGTTCCCTCCAGCGGGGGGCAGCAGGTAGGCGTGCGCACGCACACACGCACACACACACGCACGCACACACACGCACACACACACCAGGGCTTACTCCCCCCAGCAGGGGGTGACAGGTGCGCGCACACACACACACACACACACAGCAGGACTCAGCCCCTCCAGCAGGGGGTGACACACACCCACCCACCCACCCACCCACACAGCAGGGCTCAGCCCCGCCAGCAAGGGGCGACACACACACACACACAGCAGGACTCAGCCCCTCCAGCAGGGGGTGACACACACCCACCCACCCACCCACCCACACAGCAGGGCTCAGCCCCGCCAGCAAGGGGCGACACACACACACACACAGCAGGACTCAGCCCCTCCAGCAGGGGGTGACACACACCCACCCACCCACCCACCCACACAGCAGGGCTCAGCCCCGCCAGCAAGGGGCGACACACACACACACACAGCAGGACTCAGCCCCTCCAGCAGGGGGTGACACACACCCACCCACCCACCCACCCACACAGCAGGGCTCAGCCCCGCCAGCAAGGGGCGACACACACACACACACAGCAGGACTCAGCCCCTCCAGCAGGGGGTGACACACACCCACCCACCCACCCACCCACACAGCAGGGCTCAGCCCCGCCAGCAAGGGGCGACACACACACACACACAGCAGGACTCAGCCCCTCCAGCAGGGGGTGACACACACCCACCCACCCACCCACCCACACAGCAGGGCTCAGCCCCGCCAGCAAGGGGCGACACACACACACACACAGCAGGACTCAGCCCCTCCAGCAGGGGGTGACACACACCCACCCACCCACCCACCCACACAGCAGGGCTCAGCCCCGCCAGCAAGGGGCGACACACACACACACACAGCAGGACTCAGCCCCTCCAGCAGGGGGTGACACACACCCACCCACCCACCCACCCACACAGCAGGGCTCAGCCCCGCCAGCAAGGGGCGACACACACACACACACAGCAGGACTCAGCCCCTCCAGCAGGGGGTGACACACACCCACCCACCCACCCACCCACACAGCAGGGCTCAGCCCCGCCAGCAAGGGGCGACACACACACACACACAGCAGGACTCAGCCCCTCCAGCAGGGGGTGACACACACCCACCCACCCACCCACCCACACAGCAGGGCTCAGCCCCGCCAGCAAGGGGCGACACACACACACACACAGCAGGACTCAGCCCCTCCAGCAGGGGGTGACACACACCCACCCACCCACCCACCCACACAGCAGGGCTCAGCCCCGCCAGCAAGGGGCGACACACACACACACACAGCAGGACTCAGCCCCTCCAGCAGGGGGTGACACACACCCACCCACCCACCCACCCACACAGCAGGGCTCAGCCCCGCCAGCAAGGGGCGACACACACACACACACAGCAGGACTCAGCCCCTCCAGCAGGGGGTGACACACACCCACCCACCCACCCACCCACACAGCAGGGCTCAGCCCCGCCAGCAAGGGGCGACACACACACACACACAGCAGGACTCAGCCCCTCCAGCAGGGGGTGACACACACCCACCCACCCACCCACCCACACAGCAGGGCTCAGCCCCGCCAGCAAGGGGCGACACACACACACACACACACGCAGGCAGGGGGCGGCAGGAGGGAGCAGTGCCGCGTGTACCTCGTTTGACGGGGGCTCCTTTCCCACCCAGCCGACGGCCGGTCCCAGGTGCAGCGCGCCCGGCACGAGGCCGCCGAGTGGAAGTACAAGAAGGGCTACGAGATCCCGGCGGCGATGCTGTGCCGGCGTATGGCTGACATCTCACAGGTCTACACCCAGAACGCCGAGATGAGACCCCTGGGCTGCTGTGAGTGATGGGGGCTGGGGAGAGCCACCCCGCTAGCACCCCCCTGCTACGTACCTACCCAGTCACCTCTCTTTTACCCACTGAGCCCTGCTGATCACCCCCATCCCGTGCCCCACCCGTAACCCCTCCCTGCCCCTTTACTTAGTGCTGCCCCCTATGGCTGCCCCAGCAACCCCCCAGCTTTTCCCCGTTCTCCTGCCTGGGGTCCCCTTTGAGCCCCTTACCCTGGCTCTGCTCCACACATGGGTTAGCAGCTCAAGTGTGGCAACGAGCCAGATTCCAGACGGGGGGGCCAGAGCCATGGGCCTTTGCAGCATCAGCTGTTAGGGACATTCCTTTCGCTCTGGAAGTTCCCGGGGGAATTGGAGTCCGCTTTGCACCCTGGGATCACGCTCCCTGCCGCCAGGGATGGACAGACACACGGGCTCCTGCCCCTTCCCGGATCTCCTGGCAGGTATGATTTTGATTGGGATCGACCCTGAACTGGGCCCCCAGCTGTTCAAGTGTGACCCGGCCGGCTACTACTGCGGCTACAAAGCAACCACTGCTGGGGCGAAGCAGACTGAGGCTAACAGCTTCCTGGAAAAGACTTTGAAGAAGAAACGGGACTCACCTGTGGATCCTGTAGAGGTCAGTGTGTGCCCGTGTGTGTGCCCATGTGTCTACATGCACGCCAGTGAGTGTGACTCTACCTGGACACATGTCTGCTGGGTGGGACCATACCCCTCTGTATCATTGCATGTCTGAGCCGACTGGGTGGATGCCTCCCCTTCCCAAAGCACCATAAGCCCTGTGCTGGCATAGATCTATCAGTCTGGTGCCGGAGTGGATGCACATGCATACGCAGTCCTCCACCAGCTGTTCCACAGCGCAACCACTCCCAGCAGCAGCAACCTGTCTGGTGAAAGGTTGGAACTTTGTTGTCCAGCAGTCACGTTTCATTTAAAATATTAGCATAGGGAGAAGAGTGGTCCCGATTCTTCCAATGTTATGTGTCTTGGTAACATCATGTAGCAGGGAGTTCCGCAGGCTAACCACCTGTTGCCTAGAACAGTGGTGTGCAACTGTGGGTCGCGACCCCCAAGGGGATCGTGTATGTCTTCCCGGGGAGTCGCGGTGCTTAGATCCGGCCAGCCAGGGGCCAGGAGTCGCAGATCAAAAAAGGTTACGCACCAGTGGCCTGGAACAAGCTTTTTCCTTTTCTTCCTTTGCTGCCAGCTGGCGATTACTTGCTTGTCAACAGTCCTCTCCCAGGACTTCAAGGCCAGCGAGATCGAAGTGGGGATAGTGACAATGGAGCAGCCCGGATTCCGGTAAGACCTTTTGGGCTGCACGTTCCGACTGCCCATTTCCAGAGCCACCTCCAGTTAACAGCAGCTTGTCTTGGTGGCTTGCAGGATGCTGACCGAGGAAGAAATCGAGCGGCACCTGGTTGCCATCGCGGAAAGGGAGTGAGCTCAGTGACCACTGTGGAGTCCTTCAGGTTACGGGCGTGGACAAGAACCCACTTCTGAACAGGACCCCTCGAAAGCCTGGACCTGCGTTATCCTGTTAGCAGGGGGATTTGCCCAGAGCAATGGGCTGAAGTAACACTGGCCTGCAGTACTTTTAAAAACGTTTAATTACAACCCTCCTAATCCAGGTCCTTCCTGACCCCCGTGGCAGCCGAGAGCCTGGAGCATGAGATTTCGGTCTCCCTCTCGGGCCTTGTCTTTGTGAAGAAAAGAAGCAGCATTTAGACTGACATGCTTAATCTCTATGGGACGAGTGTAAAATTAAGCCCGGGCATAGGTCTTCACAGCTTTGGCCAGCCTGGTAAAACCTCACCCTGCGTCCAGTTCTGGTACCCACAACTCAGGAAGGATGCTGACAAATTGGAGGGGTCAGAGAAGAGCTATGGAAAGGATTAAAGGTTAGAAAACCGCCGTAAAGTGACAGACTCAATGAGCCCCATTGATTTAGCTTAACGAGAAGGGGAAGCGTAACTCGATCCCCGTCGATCAGTACCTGCATTAGGGAAGTGAAATTGCAAGTAATTGACTAATTGAATAGTTGATGCATTTTGCCTCAACTATTCGATTAGTCGAGAGGGCGCCTCCAGCTTCCACGTGTAGCACCAGCTCTAGGGCTGTTGCTACACTTCAAGGGCGAAAACACTGCGGGGAGCCCCAGGTCAGCTGGGGGTTCCCCGCTGACCCCAGGCTCCACGTGGAGCTGTCGGTTTGAAAAGCCGCAGGGAGCTCGGTGCCAGGCTCCTCGTGGCGTTTCAAAGCTGCACTCCGCACGGAGCCTGCGGCGGAATCCCCAGTTGATCCCAGGCTCCACGGGACTCTGCCGCTTTGAAATGCTGCGTGCAGCTGGGGGACACCCCAGCTAGCCCCGAAAGCAGCAGAGCTGCGTGGAGCCCAGGGTCTGGCCCGACTCCATATGGCACCGCTGCTTGGAAGTACCCACTCTTCCCACCCCACTTGCTGCCTCTTTCTGATAGAAGCAGCGGGGGGTGGGGGCGCGAGGGTGGAGAAACAACTAGTCCTTTACGTCCCTAGCCTGCATGGGGGCAAATCTTTACTAACTGGCTCTTTGGTCTGAGAGAGAAAGGTCTGGTTCAGTCCAAGGGCTGGAAGTGGAAACTAGACCAATTCAGACTGAAAAGGAGGTGTGAAATGGAGCAATTTACCAGCCTCATGAGGGATTCCCCTCGCTGGCTGTTTGTAAATCCAGATGGGCTGTTTACCTCCTCTGGAAATTATTTGAGGGCAGGTGTCTGGTCTGTGCTCTGTGCTCATCAGGCAATTTCCTATCTCCTCCCCCTTAGCAAAACAGAGCCAGGAAAGGGAATGATCCGTTCGCAGGTCTCCAATGGGCCCATGTGGCCTTTTACATCAGAGGCTGACTTTAATCAGCACGGCTGCGGGTGTGGGCAAGCCTGTAAAACTGTGCTTAATTTGTATGGGAGTGGTGCGTGCAGGAATTCAGTGCGTGCAGGAATGGAGCGTGAGACAGGATCCGTTACTAGGAGATCTCAGGCCTTGTCCTTACACTACAGATGACACTGGTTTAGCTAGTGCCGGTGGCTAAACACCCCGTGTAAACGTGCTCAGGCCAGGGGAATAGCTTAAGCAATATGACTGCATCTTCCTCGGGAGCTTTCCCTGTACCATATGGGCTGCTGGACTGTAGCTGTACCAGCGACACAGGGTTAACCTAGCGCTGTACCGAGGTTCAAGAGCTCTGGGTTAAATTTCTTGGGTTGGTTGAGTTTGGAAAGGGGAAGACCGAGAGGGGACATGGTAGCGGCTTTCAAGTACCTAAAAGGGTGTTACAGGGGGGGAAGGAGAAAAATGGTTCTTCTTGGCCTCTGAGGGTAGGACAAGCAGCGATGGGCTTAAATTGCAGCAAGGGAGGTTTGGGTTGGACATTAGGAAAACTGTCAGGGCGGTTAAACACTGATAAATGGCCTAGGGAGATTGTGGAATCTCCACTATTGAAGATTTTTAAGAGCAAGTTAGACAGACACCTGTCAGGGATGCTCCAGATGGCGCTTGGTCCTGCTGTAAGATCTGGGACGGGTCACGCTGACCGCTCCTTCCTAGTTCATATCCCAGGACAAAATCTTATCCTACCTGATCCAGGAACGTGAACTAGTTTTGTAAGGCCCAGACACTCTGGCACCTAACTGGTTACAAAGCACACACCTGTGCTGGAACAATGTGATTCTCGCCTCTTTCTCCTCCCGCGCCTCTTCTCTGCGCGGGCTGCCGGACCGGTTTGTTGTGATGGCAACAGGGAAAGATGCGGGTGTGTTTATAAAGGAGAGGCACTCTGGTTGTGAAAACCGCACGACTCAGGGCTGTGTAGAACCCAGAGGCACTTTTACTCACTGCTAGAAACAAACTGGATTGTTAGCTAGTTTCCAAACACCAGCTATTTCACGTTGATCGTGTCCCTTTCAAACCCTGCCCCACCCATGCGAGACAGGCCTTTCCTTCTTGTGCTAAAAGCTCTGCCCCGTTGGATTTGCCACCAGCAAAGTCCCAGAGGGTTGAGACAGGGCTCCCAGCCCACTTGCAAAGGGAGAACTTTAATCTGTTAAACACCGAGCTGCACGAACTGCTCCCCGGCTTCATGAATCCACTGCGTAACCCCGTGGTGCCAACTAGCTTAGCTTTCCCCTCTGAAAACCAGGAAGGGAAGGGTTAGCGCACATGACCCCCCTGCACACACATCTGGCAGCTTGGTTCAAACCACACTGGAGAGCCAACTTTTACCCTGGGTAACTACACTGCTGCCCTGCAGAGACAGCTAGACACTAGGGGCTGAACCTTGATCCAGCGCTTTCTGCTCCAGCAAGGTCTGCGGTCTGGCCTGATCTGAGTGAACCGGGTGGCCACGTCCCTCGCGGTCCAGTAAAGTTTGTTTGCAGCCCCCAGTCAGACTCCCAGGGTTCTGGGCTGCTGTTAGCTCTAATTGACCCCTCAGAGCCCAGGAAGCAGTGGGGACGTTGCTCGACAATACTGGCCTCCCACGGGTCGGCATCAGTCAGGTGCGGAGGGTGCCGGATTAGAGAGGTTCAACCTGTAGAGCTCAGCTCGAGGAGGGTGATCTCACTCTGGGGCCACGGTGTGACCCTTTGGGGTGTCCCAGATCTGGGGTGGGGATTGCGTCTCAGGAACCCCGAATGTGGAGTAGCGGCCCTGCCCTTCTGGCAGCTCCACAATTTAAGAAAACTGAGATGCTGGCTTGTTTTGCAAACCAGGAGAAAGCCAGAGCCCCTTCCCCCTGAATTCCAGTGGTCTTTAGGAACATGCTGACTCCCCCCAGCACGTGGGTGATCTAGTCATTTCATGCTGGCGTCCAGCACTGCAGCATCTGGGCCCTGCCGTGTAAACGCAAGAGGAAATCAGGCCTGGAGGGTCTGACCCGTCTCCCGTTTGTGGCAGGGGGTCTCTGTGAAGTGGACGGCGGAACTCATTGCCACAGAACAGCACCAAGGCCAGGAGTGTGGTATGGTTCAAAGAGGGACTAGAGCTAAAGGGTGGGTCTGCCAGAACGGCTCCCAGGGGGATGCTTGTGGATCAGCCGCAGCTACTTCAATGCACCTTGTGCTGGAATGATTCCCCCAGAGGTAAGGCCTTGGATCAAACTGCTGGAACAATTAGTGAAGAGAGGCCTCATGGGCAGAGCTCAAGCTTAGCCCTAAGGAGCCAGCAGCTCCAGTCCTAGCTCTGCCACTGGCCTAGTGGGTGACCTTTGGGCCAGTCACTTCCCCTTCCCATCCCTGATCTGTAAAATGGGGATAAAATGCTGCTCACCTGGGGTGTGTCTACAGGGTTTTGTCGACAAAACTATACCTGCGTCTACACTGCCGCTGAGTGCTAGTGACATAACATCGACAGAACGCGGCAGTTTTGTCGACAGCTGTAAACCTCATTCTACGAGGAAGAACACCTTTTGTCAACAGAGTTCTGTGGCCAGAAGCCATTTCAGCTTCTTGCTTCTGCACGTAGACCAGAATGAACTTTGTTACCCCAGCACAGAGGTCTGCACGATGAGCTATTGAAATGTGTTAACTGAGCTGGTTGAGAAAGGAGCCTCACACCCTAGTACCTGCCCTCTATCTTGCTGAGAATAGCTCTGCTTTCTGAGTTTAATTGGTGATTTCTGTAATTGGATGCCCTGATGTCAGACTTGTTTGGTTAAAGGTATAAGGATACTAGGATTGATTGTTTTAGCCAGCCGTACTGGGCCTGGCTCTGCTGGGACCATGTTTGGCTCACTCTGTGCCTTATTGATCAATAAAGCTGTATATTAGCCGCCAAAACAGAGAAGAGCGTTTGCTTCAACAGTGTTATTGCATCTACACTGTCCTGTCAGCAAAGCGGCTTGCTTTGTCGACAGAACTGGATGTAGTCTAGATGCTCTTTGTCGTCTGTCGACAAAAGCCTGTCGTCTAGACGTACCCCTGGTGTATCCAGCACTCTGAACTCTATGGCTGGGAAGCGCCACGTAGGAACCAAGTATTATGAGAGCTGGACTCTGGCTGTGATCTGCCCTCCATACAGACACGTGGTTATTACTGTCAGCCACTAACTTTAATCTCATTCCTACTCACTGGTCAAGAAGAGACACAATACAGAGCATGAGCAAAGACCAGCAGGGAGAAAGACAACTACACAGAACTGTACAAAGTTAGACAGCAGCTTGTACAACACTCCTGACATAGCTTAAAACCCACGTGCTGGACGAGTAACGTGGTGTCCCCCCCGAGATATGGCTCTAGCTGGGACACGGGGACGAGCTTACGTGGAAAGAACCATTTCCCTGTCCCTGGGAGAGGAATGCTACAGGGTTTTGCCCTCGCTGCATGGTACTGGAAACTGATCAGCCAGGCCCAGTCACTTGCAGCTGCCAAACTGGGAGGCATGTGGTGAACAAAGCTGACAAAGAAGGGTCCCCTGCCCAAAGCCCCTTTGTGGGGCTGAGCATCCAAGTATGTTCAAGCCCAGAATGCCAAGTTTTGAGACCTGCCCCGTGCAGAGATGTACGTCACAGGAGGGGGATTTCTCCGTTAGTGTGGGCACAGTCAGACTGGTCTGAAGGTGCCTTCTACTGGTGCAGCCAAAGAAACTGCTTTACCTAGGGAGAGACAGCATTGCCTAGTGTGCAGAACACGGGACCGTACCTGTTCCCCCGTCTGTAAAACAGACAAACCTCCATCATCTCGATGCACAGAGCCAAGCTTACCGAAGTGCTGCAGCGTGAGTGCCTAGACAGGCCCTTTAACGACACGGGCCTGGAGGAATCAAGCCTGGTCTGCTCGAGGGCGGGGAAGAGGATTGCCAATCCCGGAACCTCAGCCCTTCGCACCGGGGCAGGTGAACCCCCTGCGAATCTCCCTGTCCCTCCCCTACGCTGTGGCAGAGGCCGCTGCTGTCAGCCTCAGAGAATTAACCCTGCCCCCTACACACCTGAAGCCCCCAAGCTGCTGTGGCCGGGGGATTTATTGGCCAGGAGCGGGAGAACACAGAGGAGGAAACAGCAGCCTTGTGGAACAAGAGAGTTTGTTTCAAATTCAATCTTCTCCCCCTTCACCCTTCAACCCCTCCGATGGAAGGAGGGGAGGTATCCTGCACCTAATGCAGCAACGCTGCTCGGACAAGCTGAGCTCCAAACCCCTGGGGCGAAGCCAGGGTCTACTTTGTATCTACGCGGGAACAGCAGGAAGGACCCCCGGCTGCGCAAGGGACAACGGGAGTCCTGCCTCTCGGCCTTGCGAGCAGCTGGTTTGCACAAGTACCAGGCCAGCTCAGGGCATCTCTTCCCACATCACCTCACGGAAGCAATGCCACTGCTCAGCACAGGGGGGCTGAACTTGTCACATGGCCTGTTTGAATCAGGAAAGTTTCCAGTTTGGGAGTCAAAACAGCTTTGGGGTTTGCCATTTTTAATACAGCCAGCCCCAGACAATCAGAGTCTAAATCATGCAACTGACGTCGTTTTGACCTGCCACTTGTGAAAGGCTCAGATGGAGTTTTCAGCCCAATCTAGTACAGGCAAATTTTCTGCTTTCCAAGAACACTATGGGATGGGCATACTGGTTCCCACAGCTCTGGAAGAAACAACCAGGGCCAAGCACAGTGTGAACAGGGCTTTGCAGCCAGTCAACGGGCAAAGAAAAAAAACCAGACTCCTCAGGTGGGGGGGAGGGAAGGGGGAAGACAAAGCTGGTCCCACCGGTACTGGCAGAGAAGCAGCGGCCAGTGCGGATACGGACACAGCTTGGCCCCTATGCACAGATCCGACTCAGGACACAGCCTGTCCCTCTTTCTCCATCTCTGACCCAAATCGAACAGGTCCAGCCACATCACTCACATCTCAACTCTTTCCAGCATCTTGCTCCGCCCCCTTTGGGATGTTGAAGACCGCTCTCCCCCTCTGCTCATAACAGGCCATCCCAGTCTTTCCACCAGCCTCGTCTCCCCTCAGCTCCTCCTGCGGATTCCTCCCCGCCCCACCTGTTTCAATCCAGCAACCCCACACTCCAGCTATTCCCTCTCTGGGCTGCTGGGCCTTCTGCCAGTGCTTCGGGTCTGATTTCCAGGTGCACTCACGCACCTTTGTCCTTACAGCTAGCTGAGCAGACCACGTCTGCAGGGCACTTGCAAAACTCCTCCCGTCTCATTCAGGTGCTAGGATGGGAGCAGCTAAAAGGAATTTGGCCCCAACTACTCTGCTAGCAGCAGTTCGGCGGTGCTCAGTGCTTCTCAACATAAAAGAGGTAAACAGGCCGAGGTCTTTGAAAGGCCGCGCAAACCCTGCCAGAAACGCAGCTCGGTGCAGCTCCGCAGGGAGCTGAACTGCTTAGTTACATGAGCAACATCTGTGGGGCCCAGTGACACCCCTCATGTGGGCAGGGATACCGCTCCCGCTCCGAAAGCAAATGGCAAGCGGCTCCACAGGGCAATCGGCCGACGCTCTAGCCCAGCTGCCGAAATGCCTGTTCTACTGTAAGGGAATCAAGGTAACTGGCTGCGACTGCCTACATGGAGAGAGAAGGAAACGAACACGGCATTCAGCTACCGCTTCCAGGGAGCAGCTCTGTGCTGCCACAGAACTCGGCTCCTGGAGAGCCCGATCCAGCTGAGAACAAGCTTCTGCGGAGCTGCTTCCCACAAGGGCAGGGCAGGCTGCGAGTCTCTTCTGGAGGGGCTCCTCGGCCGCCAGCTCACGCTGCAGGCGCCGCAGGGCCGGCCCCATTAATTCTGATAGCGTCCACGGTTGATGACGATGTCGTCGTATTCTTCCTGAGAAACAGGAGAGCTTTGCTGATGACCTCCGAGATACGGCAAGGGCCTGTTTAGGGATCATTACGGAGCAGGTGGGGAGGGCCAGGATCAAACGGCTTCATCGGTTAAAGCCAGAAGAGACAACAGCGATCAACCGACCTCCTGTGTGACACAGGCCACACAACTGGCCTGCATTCGCTTCTGTGGGAGCTACAGCAGATATTGGGGGGGGCTCCGATTTGCATTTGGACGTTGCCAGCGATGGAGAATACACCACAGCCCTGGGAAAGTTAAGGATTAATTACTCTGTTCAGATTAACCCCTTAGAGCTAGACACATCTGCCTGTACGTAGCTTCAACTTCCAGCAACTGGATCACGGCAAACCTTTGAGAGCCAGCTACTGTCAAATTTCTCTCTGCCAGCTCGCCGGGCTTGATTTGCACCAGGCCTCAGTCCCAGCTCCCTAGGCTCGGCAGTACCTCTGAGTCTCCTGCGTCAACTCCAGACGCAAATCACCGCAGAGCCCCGGCACCCCCCCCCCGCAGCATAGGTACGTACAGACCGACCCAGGCAGAGCGCACCCTGCTCTGCATTAATCTACGTAGACCAGAGACTCAGGGAACTCGACCCATTTGAAAAGAGAATCTCTTGCTGGGGAAAAGATCCCTTTAGCTTCTCTGCTGTCAAACCCAATGGCAGCTTCTCCACCCATTGTGTGTCAGAGGGGAGGGGCCTGCCAGGAGCGGAGGGGGGCTGGTGGCACAGAGGACTAGGAACCAGGCTGAGACCTGCCAATTCCTACACATGGGGGAAGTTGCAATGGCTTTTCAGCACTGCCCTCTAGGCCTCCTACAGGGGGAGGGGTGGCTCTAGAGCAGAGATGAGGCCACTTGCAAGCTTGGCCTGGCTTTGCCGAGGGGGTGCCTGCACTCCTCCCTCCTGCACCGCTAGGCCAGCGCACACGCCCAACCCCACTCACGTCGCTGCTGTCATCTGAGCTGTCCTCTGAATCCCAGTCCGGCTCCTCCGAGCCAAACTCCCGGAGCAGCTGCAAGATCTTTTGGTTGGGCCTGTGCATGGCGCTGTAGATGGGGGTGTAACCAACATACATCCGGGCCCCCGGATCTGCTCCAGCACGCAGCAGGTACTCCACCACCTCCGGGCTCTGAGACTCCACTGCCAAGTGGAGGGGACTCCGGCCACAGCTCAGCTCCTGCCAGTGGTGGACAGACCAGTCAGCAAGAAAGAGACTTCTGAGAAGGGTAAATACCTTCTGATCCCTGGCCACCCCTCTCCATAGACGATCCGCCCTTGCACTAACCGCCTTGTTGAGACTGGCTCCGGCGCTCACCAGGAGCTTGACTGCTTCAAGATCCTTCCGCAGGACAGCCACATGCAGCGGCGTGTAACCTATGGGAACCGAGAGCAGACAATCCTGATCAACCCAAGAAGTAACTCTCTGACCAGGCCCCTCTCAGCTGGCTGTTGTCAAGGCAGTGTCAGAGGATTGGTATAGAATACACCGCACACTACGTATCTCTCCAGCATGCTGCCTTTTGGTTTTTTCACCCCCAAAGTAGTAGGCCACGCCCTAAGTTAAGCCACTTCCACTTCAATGCAAAGAAATGAGCATTGAAACTACTTCAGCAGTGGCCAAGTTCTGGGGTTCTCTGGGGCTGTTCTATTCATATTCAGCCCTTCACAGCCTTGAGGGAAATGGAGGGTAACTGGGCCACAGAGAGCTCTGGCCATGCTGGCTGGGGAAGGACACAGCATGCTCAGGACAAAGGTCCCACGTGTAACACTCCCAGGTGGGTGACGAGAGGCTCCATACCATCATAATTGGTGCAGTCCAACTGAGCCCTGGCGTCACTCCCTTCACAGGATCTGCGCATGCTCAACGATGCCAAGAGCCACTGTGCACAGTCCCGCCAGCCCTCCCGGCATGCCAGGTGCAGCGCCGTGTGGCCGCCTTTCTCCTGCACGCAGAGCCCTGCCCCGGCTGCCATCAGCTTGCGGACAAAGTTGGAGGCACCGAGGATGACTGCAATGTGCAATGCCGTCTGGGGAAGGTCAGCGAGATAGACAGGTCAGAAAGCTCTGTGGCTGATCTCCCCTAAAAAGAGCCCGGCCTACTAACACCACTACAGATCGCTTCTTTCCATGGGCTGTCACCCTAATAGCGTCACACCCCATATTCCAGACGCAGCGCTGAAAAGCAGCCACCTCTGGGCAGGCAGGCAGTGGCCAATTGCACAAGCAGGTCAGAAATTTTAGTCAAGGACACGACTATTCACACAAAAGCTGTCTCTACTACCCAGGCACAGGAGCCGACACGGTCTTGTCCTTCCTCTGCACCGTGAGCTACATGGAAGGCAGCTGATTTGCCTGGCATGAGCGCGACCACCTTACACCCTTTAAACAAAGCCCTCCCTGGCCCCGTTTACTTTGGTCCACTGCCACTGTCAATTCCCCAGCCTTCCTTACATTCCCCGGCCATATATTGGAGCAGACCAAAGCTCCAGTTAGTCCAACACCCTGTCTTCCGACAGTGGCCAGCGCCAGAGAGAAGGAACAGGTAGCCATCAGGGGATCCAGGGGAAGATGTGTTTGGATATTAGTGTCTCATTTACCAGTTGCTTGCAGGAGCATCTCCAGCATGCTAGATGCTATACAGACACAAAGCGAGGGATAGCTCCCTGCTCCAGAAAGACTGCTGTGCTCCGTAACACTCTTCCCTGCTCCCCCAACTCATTTATGATGCAGAGGAATTAATATGTGGTTGTGTTTCATCTTCCTGCCAGCAACCCAATCACTCCCTACAGGAGGTGGCATGGGCGATATCGTGTAGGAAGCTGACTAGGTGCCACTACTCCCGAGTTTTGTCCCCAACTAGCTGTACAATGTTCAGGCAAACTAATGTGGCTCTTTGTGCCTCAGTTTCCCCACTGCAATTGCCAGAGACTACAGACAGAAAAAGCTCCAGTCTTGGCCCAACCTGGCTCAGGTCATTCTGCAGATCCAAGTACTCCGTCCCGGCCGTGTACTGCAGGATAGAATCCAGAAAGGCTTCGTGTTCATGAATCACAGCCAAGTGGAGGGCTCTGGGGATGGAAGAACAGACACCACTCCAAGCAAAATAAATAAGTACCCTGCAACTGGCTGGAAATGCCACCCCTGAAAGGGAAGCAATAGCAAGAAGAGGAATTGATCTAGTCAGCAAAGAGCAAGGAGCTGGGGGTGCAGCAGGGAAACCAGGTGGATGTAAAACTCCTGGGAGTGTGGGCAATAGAATAGCTGCCAGCAGTGACTGAATTCCTACAGTTAATGCCTAAAGCATCCCAGAAACTGGACACCAGGGACTGCAGGCCACGGCCGATGGAGACAGCACTGAGATATCAAGG